TATCGCACACCCCTAATTTATGTTATTTAATTGATATAATAATTTATTGATAATTGTTTAAATTAATATAATAATTAATACTTTTGACTCATCCATTTTCTTAAAAATGGTTTAAATGCTGAAATGTGAAGTTTTTCATTTTATAAAACGTTTGTTTTTGTGAAAACTTGTATCTGAACTGTAAATTATGCTTTTTACAGTAATTTTACAGTTTAATATGGTACTATAGACATTGCCCTAGCCCACTCATATGGTATTACTTTTATTTGTGCAGGTCTTAAAAAGGTCTTAAATTTGAGCTTAAAAATCCTGCGGAAACCCTGTATACATTTCTCACAACGTTGAAGCTTACATTTGTGTGTATATTACTGTAAATGCTACTGCATCTATGTCATCAGCGGCTATTTACACAAATCATAAACTAAGCTGCTATTTACACTGAGTATAAATAGTGGTAGATAAAGTTTGCACAAGTAATGTGTTTATAAAAGTAACATGCTATTTGTATTAAAGGCAGAGGTAGGCAAAGTTAGTGAAAATAACTTTTGCCAGCAAGGGTGGCTATTTGCACTGTCCAAATAGACACTGTCAATTATATTTGCTATTTATTTATTGGTTAATTGGCTTTTTGCTTTTTTTATTAGATAGGACAATGGAGAACCAACAGGGAGAGCAATATCGAATGCAAAGCACTACCTTCTTTGCCACTGCTTCAACATTTTTTTGGGGGTTTTTTTGTAAGCTGAAGTATGAATCAAAGCTATTTTGTTGCAATAGATTGCATGTCAAAGATGCTTTGCATTGAGCTTAACATGTATTGAACCCTGAACTAGGGCTGGGCGATATAGCTAAAAAAAATTATCAACAATATAATGTTTCATATCGTTCGGTATCGATAATTATTGACATTTTTTATAACCTTTTTTAAAACAAAGAGCAATAGAAAAAAACTTTTAAATTTAACCACTGTATTTTTAAATTAACCCAATTTATTGAGACAAACAACAAATATTTTTTGTTTTAACAGTCAAACACACTCTCTCACATGTTCCGCCATGTGCTTCACTTCTGCGCTTATTTACATCAGTGCGCATGCGTCTTTCACGCAGCATACAGCGGTGTTGTGCATTTTGACCAGTTTATGGGAAAAGTATTCTTAAAATGCATTCAAAATTCGGAATAATTTGTAATATATAATTATTCACGGTATTTAGAAGTGCCCACGATAACAATATCGTGCATATTCATTACCGTGATATATCGCAGTACCGAATACCAGCACAAGTCTACGTGCGCTATATCGAACATTTTTTCTATCGTTATCGAAGAGGGTGTACCGTCGATTAAATATCGATACAGTTTTATCGCCCAGGCCTACCCTGAACCATCTTTTAAGCTAATAGCCTTTCTTGGTTTGGTTTTCATTGGTGAGAATTTCTACTCTAGTGTCACAAAACGGAATTGCATTAATTTTGAATGTTTTAAAATGGTTTTCCTAAATGCTTCCTCTGTCTGCTGTTGGTCAGTTTAAACCTATATTTTCAGTTCAGTCCCATTTCCTTCTGGTTGGGATGCTCAATAGAGAATGTTTTATGGTAAATGATGTATTGTGGCACTCTATTGATGGAAATCAACCTACAAATGCTGATCAGAGTTATACTCTGAGCTCAGTTTAACATAGCATGTTTAAATCCATTCAGCAGAATTCTGTTACTTTTAGTCCAAAATCAGCTTTGAAAATGTGAATGAATCATCAGATTCTGTGTGGGCCTATTTCCGCTAAGTACCGTCTTAGTTAAAGGGGTCATATGATGCTGCTAAAAAGAACAGTATTTTGTGTATTTGGTGTAATGAAATGTGTTTATGCGGTTTAAAGTTAAAAAAACACATTATTTTCCACATACTGTACATTATTGTTTCTCCTCTATGCCCCGCCTTTTTGAAACGCGTCGATTTTTACAAAGCTCATCGGTCTGAAAAAGCGAGGTGTGCTCTGATTGGCCAGCTATCTAATGCGTTGTGATTGGCCGAATACCTCAAGCGTGAGACGGAAATGTTACGCCCCTCACATACTGTTAATGCCGTGTCCCGGCCGGAGCTATGAGACATAAACATTAAAACCCATTACAAACGAGGCATTTGTTGCATCCAGTGGGGACATAATTACTGATTATAATGACTTATACTGTCTTTTTACGCATTGCGTTGCATTGCGCCGCGTAAACATAAAACCCTGTCTGCATTTGTGATCAGAAAAATGACAAACAACAAGTGCTACTCCACACTGCCCAAAAAACTCGCGTTTGAATCATCAGTGGCAAATCCTTTAAATGAAAACGTACTTACGTGAGTCAGAACTGCCGGCATTTTAGCCTCAAGCGTGAGACGGAAATGTTACGCCCCTCACATACTGTTGATGCCATGTCCCGGCCGGAGCTTTCGCTTTCACAACGAAACACACAGCGCCTTCACATCATGGCGGCAGCAACAATACTTCAGCCAGAATAAAAGTTACGGCTTCTTTCTTTGCGTGAACGTTTGGGCGGCGTTATGCAAATCTTCCGAGATCGTGACGTAGGTATGTGGGGGTGTGTTAGAACGAGCCGTTTTAGGTAGGCGTGGTTGACTCTTAACTTTTATAAAGAATATCTCTTTGGATTTGAGACTTTAGTCTTTGCAACTTTACAGATCTTCTTTATGCACCAAGAGCTTGTAACACTCCAAAGAGAAAGGAAAAATTGAAATCGCATCATATGACCCCTTTAAAAGATGATTTGAAGAAGAAAAACATCTTGCTTACAATCCTCAGGCCATTTTCATCTATAGTACTACAGTGGTAGGATGTCAGAAATGCTAAATGGAACATTTCTGCTGCCTTGGATGAGATTTGTTCCTCGCACATCTTGCGCTTTCTCCACCAAATGGCTATATCCCGTGCCAGCAGGCCTGGAAATGAACTGACAGGAGCTGAACGCTGTTCACATTAGGACAGTTTGTAGGATGTGCTATAGGCAATCATTGAAATGAGTGTAATGAACACTGCTTATTTTAGCTTGCAAATGTTCATGTGATTTTTGCATATCATTCTGTTGCATGCCTATGGCATCAAATAGAGCTGACCGACTAGCCAGTGCCAGCAGTTTGAGGCCTGATGGTTTGGACGTTCTATTCATTGGACTACTATCTGTTCTGTTAACCCATATGCACAGTGTTACATGCCAGCGCTTTAACCAACCAGATCTGATTTCATTGGTTTCTGCTTTCTCAGCATTCTGGGAGCTGGTACAAAGCTATTTGAATGACAACTGTTATTTGTAGATAGGGTTCAAAGGGGCAGAAAATTTCCGGAAACTTTTTTTTCCAAAAAATTATATAAACTCCCAGTCAAATGTTTGGACACACCTGCTCATATTATTAC